CTATGTTCTCAATTCTGACAAACAATATACTACTGCTGACTAACAAAAGTAATATGTTCTCAACCCTGACAAACAATATACTACTGCTGACTAACAAAAGTACTATGTTCTCAAACCTGACAAACAATATACTACTGCTGACTAACAAAAGTATTATGTTCTCAAGCCTGACAAACAATATACTACTGCTGACTAACAAAAGTACTATGTTCTCAACCCTGACAAACAATATACTACTGCTGACTAACAAAAGTAATATGTTCAAAACCCTGACAAACAATATACTACTGCTGACTAACAAAAGTAATATGTTCTCAAACCTGACAAACAATATACTACTGCTGACTAACAAAAGTAATATGTTCTAAATTCTGACAAACAATATACTACTGCTGACTAACAAAAGCAATATGTTCTCAAACCTGACAAACAACATACTACTGCTGACTAACAAAAGCAATATGTTCTCAATTCTGACAAACAATATACTACTGCTGACTAACAAAAGCAATATGTTCTCAAACCTGACAAACATTATACTACTGCTGACTAACAAAAGTACTATGTTCTCAACCCTGACAAACAATATACTACTGCTGAATAACAAAAGTAATATGTTCTCAACCCTGACAAACAATATACTACTGCTGACTAACAAAAGTAATATGTTCTCAAACCTGACAAACAATATACTACTGCTGTCTAACAAAAGTAGTATGTTCTCAATCCTGACAAACAATATACTACTGCTGACTAACAAAAGTAATATGTTCTCAATCCTGACAAACAATATACTACTGCTGACTAACAAAAGTACTATGTTCTCAAACCTGACAAACAATATACTACTGCTGACTAACAAAAAGCAATATGTTCTCAAGCCTGACAAACAATATACTACTGCTGCTAACAAAAGCAATATGTTCTCAAGCCTGACAAACAATATACTACTGCTGACTAACAAAAGTACTATGTTCTCATCCTGACAAACAACATACTACTGCTGACTAACAAAAGTAATATGTTCTCAACCCTGACAAACAATATACTACTGCTGACAACAAAAGCAATATGTTCTCAAACCTGACAAACATATACTACTGCTGACTAACAAAAGCAATATGTTCTCATCCTGACAAACAATATACTACTGCTGACTAACAAAAGTAATATGTTCTCAACCCTGACAAACAATATACTACTGCTGACTAACAAAAGTAATATGTTCTCAACCCTGACAAACAATATACTACTACTGACTAACAAAAGTAATATGTTCTCAAACCTGACAAACAATATACTACTGCTGACTAACAAAAGTAATATGTTCTCAAGCCTGACAAACAATATACTACTGCTGACTAACAAAAGCAATATGTTCTCAAATCTGACAAACAATATACTACTGCTGGCTAACAAAAGTAATATGTTCTCAACCCTGACAAACAATATACTACTGCTGACTAACAAAAGTACTATGTTCTCAACCTGACAAACAATATACTACTGCTGACTAACAAAAGTAATATGTTCTCAACCCTGACAAACAATATACTACTGCTGACTAACAAAAGTACTATGTTCTCAAACCTGACAAACAATATACTACTGCTGACTAACAAAAGCAATATGTTCTCAAACCTGACAAACAATATACTACTGCTGACTAACAAAAGCAATATGTTCTCATCCTGACAAACAATATACTACTGCTGACTAACAAAATTACTATGTTCTCAACCCTGACAAACAATATACTACTGCTGACTAACAAAAGTAATATGTTCTCAACCCTGACAAACAATATACTACTACTGACTAACAAAAGTAATATGTTCTCAAACCTGACAAACAATATACTACTGCTGACTAACAAAAGTAATATGTTCTCAAGCCTGACAAACAATATACTACTGCTGACTAACAAAAGCAATATGTTCTCAAATCTGACAAACAATATACTACTGCTGGCTAACAAAAGTAATATGTTCTCAACCCTGACAAACAATATACTACTGCTGACTAACAAAAGCAATATGTTCTCAAACCTGACAAACAATATACTACTGCTGACTAACAAAAGCAATATGTTCTCATCCTGACAAACAATATACTACTGCTGACTAACAAAATTACTATGTTCTCAACCCTGACAAACAATATACTACTGCTGACTAACAAAAGTAATATGTTCTCAACCCTGACAAACAATATACTACTACTGACTAACAAAAGTAATATGTTCTCAAACCTGACAAACAATATACTACTGCTGACTAACAAAAGTAATATGTTCTCAAGCCTGACAAACAATATACTACTGCTGACTAACAAAAGCAATATGTTCTCAAAATCTGACAAAACCAATTTACTACTTGCTGGCGAACAAAAGTAATATGTTCTCAACCCTGACAAACAAGATACTACTGCTGACTAACCAAAAGTACTATGGTTCTCAACCTGACAAACAATATATACTACTGCTGACTCAACAAAAGTAATATGTTCTCACCCTGACAAACAATATACTACTGCCTGACGAACAAAAGTTAACTAGGTTTCTCAAACCTGACAAAACAATATACTACTGCTGACTAACAAAAGCAATATGTTCTCAAACCTGACAAAACATATACTACTCTACTGCTAGACTAACAAAAAGCAATATGTTCTCCTCCTGACAAACAAATATACTACTGCTGTACCTAACACAAATTACTATGTTCTCAACCCGTGCAAACAATATACTACTGCGTTACTAACAAAAGTAATAGGTTTTCTCAACCCTGACAACACAATATATCTATACTGACTAACAAAAGTAATATGTTTCTTAAACCTGACAAACCAATATACTACTGCTGACTAACAAAAGTAATATGTTCTCAAGCCTGACAAACAATATACTACTGCTGACTAACAAAAGCAATATGTTCTCAATCCTGACAAACAATATACTACTGCTGGACTAACCAAAAGTAATATGTTCTCAACCCTGACAAACAATATACTACTGCTGACTAACAAAAGTACTATGTTCTCAACCCTGACAAACAATATACTACTGCGACTAACAAAAGTACTATGTTCCAAGCATGACAAACAATATACTACTGCGACTAACAAAAAGCAATATGTTCTCAACCCTGACAAACAATATTACTACTGCGACTAACAAAAGTAATATGTTTCTCAAACCTGACAAACAATATACTACTGCTGACTAACAAAAGTAATATGTTCTCAACCCTGACAAACAATATCTACTGCTGACTAACAAAAGTAATATGTTCTCAACCCTGACAAACTAATATTACTAATTCCTTGTTCGTGCAGGCCTTCGCGGTCGTCGTCTCCGAGTACTAGCTGCCAAACCCTTCGATGTTTCATGTTTGATTGGTTTTGTCTGTTTGTTACACCTGTTCATTGTTAAATGTTCATTAGGCAACCCTATTTAGTTCTCTGTGTTTGGTCAGGTGTTGTGTGTAATTGTTCGATGTCACGTGTAGATGTTGGTCCGCTGTTCTGTGCTCTCTGTATTTCGTTTTGTTTGAGAGAGTCCTGCACGTTGTGCGCATTTACTTTGGACAGTCTAGTGTGCGCTTGTTTCGCCTGTGGCCTGTTGCCGTGTTGGCTTGTACTGTCGGACTTCACTAAAGATATCTGTTCTTTGAATCTCTGTGTCCTGCGTGTGATTCCACGTTCCCTCTACACTCAACCCTGACACTAACAAAAGTAATATGTTCTCAACCCTGACAAACAATATACTACTGCTGACTAACAAAAGTAATATGTTCTCAATCCTGACAAACAATGTACTACTGCTGACTAACAAAAGCAATATGTTCTCAAACCTGACAAACAATATACTACTGCTGGCTAACAAAAGTAATATGTTCTCAACCCTGACAAACAATATACTACTGCTGACTAACAAAAGTAATATGTTCTCAAACCTGACAAACAATATACTACTGCTGACTAACAAAAGTAATATGTTCTCATCCTGACAAACAATATACTACTGCTGACTAACAAAAGTATTATGTTCTCAACCCTGACAAACAATATACTACTGCTGACTAACAAAAGTATTATGTTCTCAACCCTGACAAACAATATACTACTGCTGACTAACTGTCACGGAATCTGCCGAGGCTGCTCCTCCTCCTTGCTCGGGCAGGTTTCGGCGGTCGTCGTCCCCGGAGTACTAGCTGCCACCGTTGTATGTTTCTGTGTTCGTTTGCTTTTGTCTGATTGTTGTACACCTGTGGTTAGTTAGCGTTGATTATGTGTCCTATAAGTTCTCGCTTTGTTAGTCATGTGTTGTGTGTTATTGAGCGTCCTGTCTACGTGTCGGTATTGGTTTTCCCTCCTTGTGTTTAGGAGAGGTTTTCGCACTTTCTGTGCGCTTATGTATTTTTCCTGTTTGTTTACGCCTGTGTGCGTATCGCTCGTCTCCGGGCACTTGTGCTCGTATTTCACCACTAAAGACTGTTGTACGAAGCTTCTGTGTCCTGCGCCTGATTCCCGCACCTTCCACATACAGCACACCTTGACACTAACAAAAGCAATATGTTCTCAAACCTGACAAACAATTTCCTACTGCTGACTAACGAAAGCAATATGTTCTCAACCCTAACAAATAATATACTTCTGCTGACTAACAAAAGCAATATGTTCTCAATACTGACAAACAATGTACTACTGTTGACTAACAAAAGCACAAACAAATTTAGCCTGCTGGGTTTAAACCAGTAAAGCATGTTGTAAGAATAACAACATTAACTTTAACTTTCCGTTTGACATCATAATCATCATCAAATCAAAATCAAATCAACATTTATTGGTCGCGCATACAGATTTGCAGGTGTTATGGCCGCTGCATCATCATTCAAGTAGTAAGTTTATCAGAACATTGGGGTGTGGTAGAACGTTTATCAGTACAGGGGGGTGTGGTAGAACGTTTATCAGTACAGGGGGGTGTGGTAGAACGTTTATCAGTACAGGGGGGTATGGTAGTAAGGCCAATAGCAGTCCACCATCTCCTTGGCCTCCTCGTATGTGGTGAACTCGCAGTCGGGGGAAATTGGTGGCTGTCCCGGCTCACAGAATCTCAGATGGTCTCTCAAATTGTACATATCGAAGGTCAACATCTGGGAGGAACAGATTTTTTCATCATCTTAAGCGATAGCTAGACTTTTGATTACTGATTGTAAAGTATTGCTATTCACTGCTTTGGCAACATTGTTGTACCTTTAAAAGTTATGCCAACAAAGCAGTTGTCTCAAAACAGGCTCTGTCGTAGCCGGCCGCGACCGGGAGACCCATGGGGCGGCGCACAATTGGCCCAGTGTCGTCCAGGGTAGGGGAGGGAATGGCCAGCAGGGATGTAGCTCAGTTGGTAGAGCATGGCGTTTGCAACGCCAGGGTTGTGGGTTTGATTCCCACGGGGGGCCAGTATTAAACAATTTCAAAAATGATGTATGCACTCACTAACTGTAAGTCGCTCTGGATAAGAGCGTCTGCTAAATGACTAAAATGTAAATGTAAAACCTGTCCTGGAGAGATACAGGGTGTGCAGGGTTTTGTTCCAGGCAGCACTTACACAAAGATTACACTAATTAAGGTCTTGATAATTAGGTGATTCATTGTATCAGGTGTGTTAGAGTTGGGCTAGAACTAAATCATTTACACCCTTTTACTTTCCGATACAAACATTGTTGACCCAATCAATAAAGTTAATGTGAAATCTATCCTGTGAATCATCCATGTGGAACGCTACATCAACGTTGTCCCAAATGTAGAACTGGTGTTTCTGTGGATCAGGGATCAGGTGGGTTACATCCTGGTTCTGGTAGGGCTTTGACACCAGTTTGAAGCTGTGGAAAGAAATTGAAAGTGTGAGTCAATTCAAGTTGTATTTAAGGCATCCCATGATATAATTGAGAGTGATTGTTGTAGCTAGTATTACTATGTTACATCTAAAGTAACTGACATATTTAGCATTGCATGGGAACATTTTGAGTGGCACATTGTTTACATTTATCTGTGAATTACACTCACGCACACATACGCACACACTCTAACCTGTGTGTCTCACACATGGCCTCGGGTCTCCAGATGATCTGTCCATCTCTGTAAGCACAGACTCCATCGTCATTGTCCTGGAGGAGAGGGTACTTCTCAAAGAGGTCGTTGTTGAAGTGACTGTGGACTAGCACTGAGTACATCACCTCCTGTTTGTACAGCACTGTCTCATACACACGCAGGATTGGCTCGTGTCCAACACATAGCTAAACAAAAAGACAAATACCTTTATTATCATTAAATTACATGATCTTGTTTCTTTCAATTATTTGACCACAAATTCTCACATGGTCTCTGTATGTACCCAGCACAGGAGGTTGGTGGTACCTTAATGGAATTGGTGAAATGGTATCAAATACGTCAAACACATGGTTTCAATGTGTTTGATGCCATTCCATTTGCTCCGTTCCAGCCATTGTCATGAGCCGTCCTCCCCTCAGCAGCCTCCATTGGTACTACCCAGCAGTCCTGTATGTTAATTCTACAGATATTATAACTGTTCCACTAATAACACTTCAGTACCCTTTCCCGATATCTCTTGAGCAGCTCCTCCAGGGGGAAGGTGAAGCGGTAGGAGCCCAGCCTGGAGGTGTCCAGGAAGGCAGGTGAGGTGGCGAACCTTTGCAGGAAGGATGTATGCTCCCTGGCCTGCTCCTCCGTCCTGTCAGGGTACCTGGCCTGGAGCAGACGCTGTTCAGCCGAGGACATCTCCTCCGCTCCCAAAGACAAGCTCCACCACAGCAGGTCCAAACCCTCTGGCCCCTCTCGGCCCCTAGCACGGAACCCCCCTTGGCTTTCGACGGCTATGCCAAATAGCCCGCCTTCATTCGTGTCGTGTCTGAGCTGGGAGACCTGGAACTCTGGCCTTGGGTATTCTGGGATGTTGTCTTTGAAGAGGTAATTGTTGTGAAAGCCCTGAGCTTTCAGTCTCAGTCCTAGGTCCGACAGTTTCAAATGCTGGGCCTGGACAGCAAACTCCTGGTGTCCTCTGTGGTTTTTGCACACAACCACGTCCATGTTCTGCTCTCACTTCAGCATTGTCTGAGGAGAATAAGGAAGAAAATAAAGTTCAAAATAACAAAAAGGTAAACAGTCTACCGAACCAGAACTAATGTGTCTTCTGAAGACACCAACATACAGTAACACTGAGTGATGTTTGGAAAGTATTGGAGAAAGAAGTGGTGTCAGTCTGCGTTTACTAGGTCAGCCCTTTAATATGTAGGCTACCATAAAAATGTACTGTACAACCTGATGGTTAAAGAGGTGAACCATTGCCCACAGGGTTGCTGGTTCAAATCCCAGGCCTGTCGATAGTGGGAATGTGAGACAGCAAAAGCTCTGGTCCTTGCGCATGCGTCACGACTGCAATACCAGCTGCATGTTCATCTGACGCATACGCGTGGACCAGAGCTAGTCTGTCAGCAAACTAAATGCTCAAAATAGTTTGAGAATTTACAGCTTAAGCACATGTTGAAAAGTTGGTTAGTACTCTAGCAACATCTTTACTTAGGTGACTAATGAAAGTATAGTGACCTATCTAACACCTCAAAAAAGACATCACCTTGGTACTTTTCAGCATGTGCTGTGGAAATGCCCGGGGGATGGTTGAAAATAATATATATCTATAAATGTATTGTATGAATCCTATGAATTGAAATTATAAAAACTTGATGTAAAAAAAAAAGAATAACTGCAAGTGCCCCCACACCAATATTATTCGATTTAAAGTAACTGTCCAGTGAAAATGGAAAGTTACACCCAAATAATGTTGACTCGTCTTATACTCGTATTTGTGGCCAAAGAATATATATATGTATATATATATATATATATTTAAACACCTCAGACTTGTATCTCAAACAGACCATTTAAAAAATGCTTGCTATTTCCTCAGATAATGATGTCATACTCCTGAGGAGGATGAGCTGGTCAATCAAAGGTCTAGAGGATGAGCTGGCTAATCAGTGGTCTACTCTCATGAATATTTAGAATTACCGGTGTAGAGGAGTGGCCTAACATTATGATAATGTCTATGTAATTGGGTAATTCATTATGTAATATAAAATATGTGTTTATCGTTATTCCACCATAAACAGGGCACCATTTATCATTTAAATTGATAGCTAACTTTCTTAGCAAGTAGGGATAAACCATAGGCCTATGTGTCACAATTACAATCTGAAGATTATCAAGGGTGCTTTCCAGTTTCCAACTACGCTGATGTCTGAGCAGCAGAAGGATTTTGGTCGTCCATGGCTATTATTCGCGCCACGCTTTAATAGTTCAGTTCGAATGGAGAGTGGGGGCGGGGCTAGGTGCTGAAGCTCCTTGCCTGACTGGCTGAAATGTTCTGTGTTCTCGCTTAACAGGGTAGGAAAGGTCTCTCTTACCCGGCCCCAGGGAGGAGAGTCCCTTTCCTTAGGGAATTGAATAGTGTTCCATTATTGATGGACAAATCCTTTGCACAACTGGGAAAGGTGGGTAATTGTTCAGGGCTTAATGTTCCCAACATAATGATACAGAACATGACATATTCTCCTTGAAATACAGATAAGTTATTCACAACGGGGTGAATACACAATATCATTGAACATTTCTACAGCACACAATGATCATAGCATTCATCAGTACACTTGTTGCTTCAGCGCCTAGGTCCTTATGTAGCCTAATAATTTATCCATAAAAGCAAGGTTTTGTTGTTAACAAGAATGTTCTCCTGATTCCATATGAAAGGTCTGGATCCTGTCCGTTTAGCGCAGGGCGAGCCATTTTGCAAGCCCCTGCAGTTACTGTGCGATCCTGTCCTGGATAGAATGTTTAAAGTGGATGTTCTGACGTTTAATGGCCTTCTGGAGTGTAATCGTGTAATCCGGAGTGTGTTGGGAAAGGGGGAAAAGCGTGAATGGGTTGCGTCACGCCTTTTCATCTCTACCGTTGGCATGTCAATGGGCAAGTAGATGTGTATTGGGTATGGTCTGCCAACTGCCAGGCAGTCAGTGCGATGTCCCTACACCATTATATGCCCACACCATTCTACACCGGTATGTGCCCACACCATTCTACACCGGTATATGCCCACACCATTCTACACCGTTATATGCCCACACCATTCTGTTGTTGGGGTACGCCCACACCATTCCAACACAGAAAACCTGCTTTTTAACATACTTAATTACATTTCTGTGGAAGGAAAACTATTTAACTCATATTGTAAGTAATTATAGGTCACATTTAATAGGAATCTGGAAACACTGGACATTTATTTTAAAGGTAGACTCAGTGTTATGCAGTGGCGATTTTAGCATGTCAATCTTGGTGGGGCAAACCCAAAAAAAATGTTTTATGCATGCCAGCAAAGCCACTACACAATACAACACTAAACAATACATTAATTGCACTATAACGGTGACTAACGGTGCCCACAAACTGTTAGGGCCTACATAAAGCTGTCCCAACAGCAGATTCCCAACAACAGTCCCAACACCTTCCCACTGCTACACCTGGCTATCAGCGGAGCCTTTTCTGGCAGCCAAACAGTTCATTCAGCCTCATTTACTGCCTTTTAAAAAAACATAGCTGATATGGCTGACTTGCTTAAACAAATGTGGTTTCTACTGACAATTGAGATGTACACCGCTCAAAAAAATAAAGGGAACACTTAAACAACACAATGTAACTCCAAGTCAATCACACTTCTGTGAAATCAAACTGTCCACTTAGGAAGCAACACTGATTGACAATAAATTTCACATGCTGTTGTGCAAATGGAATAGACAACAGGTGGAAATTATAGGCAATTAGCAAGACACCCCCCAACAAAGGACTGGTTTTGCAGGTGGTGACCACAGACCACTTCTCAGTTCCTATGCTTCCTGGCTGATGTTTTGGTCACTTTTGAATGCTGGCGGTGCTTTCACTCTAGTGGTAGCATGAGACGGAGTCTACAACCCACACAAGTGGCTCAGGTAGTGCAGCTCATCCAGGATGGCACATCAATGCGAGCTGTGGCAAGAAGGTTTGCTGTGTCTGTCAGCGTAGTGTCCAGAGCATGGAGGCGCTACCAGGAGACAGGCCAGTACATCAGGAGGAGGAGGCCATAGGAGGGCAACAACCCAGCAGCAGGACTGCTTCCTCCACCTTTGTGCAAGGAGGAGCAGGAGGAGCACTGCCAGAGCCCTGCAAAATGACCTCCAGCAGGCCACAAATGTGCATGTGTCTGCTCAAACGGTCAGAAACAGACTCCATGAGGGTGGTATGAGGGCCTGACGTCCACAGGTGGGGGTTGTGCTTACAGCCCAACACCGTGCAAGACGTTTGGCATTTGCCAGAGAACACCAAGATTGACAAATTCGCCACTGGCGCCCTGTGCTCTTCACAGATGAAAGCAGGTTCACACTGAGCACATGTGACAGACGTGACAGAGTCTGTAGACGCCGTGGAGAACGTTCTGCTGCCTGCAACATCCTCCAGCATGACCGGTTTGGCGGTGGGTCAGTCATGGTGTGGGGTGGCATTTCTTTGGGGGGCCGCACAGCCCTCCATGTGCTCGCCAGAGGTAGCCTGACTGCCATTAGGTACCGAGATGAGATCCTCAGACCCCTTGTGAGACCATATGCTGGTGCGGTTGGCCCTGGGTTCCTCCTAATGCAAGACAATGCTAGACCTCATGTGGCTGGAGTGTGTCAGCAGTTCCTGCAAGAGGAAGGCATTGATGCTATGGACTGGCCCGCCCGTTCCCCAGACCTGAATCCAATTGAGCACATCTGGGACATCATGTCTCGCTCCATCCACCAATGCCACGTTGCACCACAGACTGTCCAGGAGTTGGCCGATGCTTTAGTCCAGGTCTGGGTGGAGATCCCTCAGGAGACCATCCGCCACCTCATCAGGAGCATGCCCAGGCATTGTAGGGAGGTCATACAGGCACGTGGAGGCCACACACACTACCTGAGCCTCAATTTGACTTGTTTTAAGGACATTACATCAAAGTTGGATCAGCCTGTAGTGTGGTTTTCCACTTAAATTTTGAGGGTGACTCCAAATACAGACCTCCATGGGTTGATACATTTGATTTCCATTGATAATTTTTGTGTGATTTTGTTGTCAGCACATTCATCTATGTAAAGAAAAAAGTATTTAATAAGATTATTTCATTCATTCAGATCTAGGATGTGTTATTTTAGTGTTCCCTTTATTTTTTTGAGCAGTGTACAAACTATGGCATAAGGGGACGACGAGCAGATAATAATAATATGCCATTTAGCAGACGCTTTTATCCAAAGCGACTTACAGTCATGCGTGCATACATTTTTGTGTATGGGTGGTCCCGGGGATCGAACCCACTACCTTGGCGTTACAAGCGCCGTGCTCTACCAGCTGAGCTACAGAGGACCACGATAAGAGGCAATCGGTAATTTCGAGCTAGGATGGACGTAGTCAATATTACTTTCTTAGCTACAGTATACATATCTCGCTGGCATATTACATCATTTATGCAGCAGCATACAATACATTTTTGGACTCACCTTGTTGTGCTGTCATCAAAGTCTGTCATTCTCTGGATTTATGGTGCTTTCAAGACAACTGTGAACTTTGAAAAAAACAAGGTCGAATCATGATGACGTTAGTGATCTTCAGGTCGGAGCCCTAAAAAGAGGCTTACAATTCTGAGTTGGATGACCGTTCATAACATATTTTCCCAGTCGGAGCTCGTTTTTTTCCAGAGTTCCCAGTTGTCTTGAACTCACTGAAATGCTTGCAGTTAGCCACTGATTCCTTCCAAACCACTCATTGTTGAATTTCCCATTTCCAATTTGTTGTATAATGTTTATGTCCAATGGCCGATATGCACCGATAAGTTGTATCTATAATTATTCTTCATTATTTATCTTCATATGACAAGGATAAAAAATTATTTGCCAGTAGATTGTGACTTCATTCATGATGATGACTGCTAGCTAAGATTTTGAAAGTATGATGTTGACATCAGTGGCGGCTCCTGAAAAAATTCTCAGGGG